TGCTTTAAGCTATAAAGAATCCAAGATACGAAGATGTTCTTAGAAGGTATCAACACTTGCAAGGAGTGAGAATGGATGATATAGATCTAAAGCCAGAGCTTCCAGTTCACCTAAACGTGGGAGCCTCAGAGTTTGCAAAGATCAAAACAAATGCCAAGGTAAAAATTGGTAAACCAGGAGATCTTGTAGGAGAGCAAACCAGATTAGGATAGACACTGATGTCTCCAGGAGTCGATACAGGGTAAAGTCAGATTTTTTTCTCTAGAGGCACTCTTGGAGACTATGAGCATCTTTGTAGTCTGGATTTGTTAGTCCTTGAGGATCGTAACAAACAAGAGGAGGATCTTTCAGTTTACGGTGCGTTCAAGTGCGTTCTAAGAACAGTTAAGACAAGATCTACAAGGGTGCTATGAGCCTGCGCTCTCAAGGAAAGCAAAATGCCGAGAACTGCAAAATAACAAGACAGGAAGTATCGCAAGAATGAATTAGGTCATAAATTAGAAAGGGAACCAGAGCTGTTTATAAAGTACAATCAGATAATCAGAGACCAGGAGGCACATGGGATCATTGAAAAGGAGAGAACGAACCAAGTGGAAAGTTCTTTTTATTTGCCTTACAAACCTGTAGTGAAGGAAGCTGCAGAAAGTATTAAAGCAAGGGTGGTGTATGATGCCTGTGCAAAAGCCAACAATTATGCAGCTTCATCAAACGAATGTTTAGAAACTGGACCGCTGCTGCAGAATCTTATATGGAACAGAGTGAAACCAGTCTCATTAGCAGGAGACATGAAAAACAGGCGTTTCTACCGATTAGAATAAAGGAGGAAGACCGAGATCTTTTGCGGTTTGACAAAGAAGAGTGGAAAGAGGGACATGCCGGTTTGCGCGCATACTTTTCGGTCTAAACCATTCTCCATTCCTGTTTGGGGCTACAATTAAGGGACATCTGAAAAATAAAAAATAAGAGTTTCCTTATGGAGTGAACGAAGGAAGACACAGCATCTATGTTAAAGGGCCTCTCCAGCCAAAAAAAAAAAATTTTTATTGACTAAAAAGTTAGCAATTGGTGCGTGTATTATGGCAAAGTCGTTGTTATTGCAAAATTCCAATTAGTTTAGAAGTTATAAGGCTTTAAAGTTGCACCTTTCCGAGAAAAAAAACGACGAATCAGTTTTGTGACATTCTGACGTCACAATGTGCGGCTCTCGTTCGTCGTGAATTTCGTATATCTTCCACCGAATCGTGAAGGAGTCATGGTCACGCGTTGATAACGGCATCTAAATCTACAGCAGGAGCTTTTTAGGATCGAAAAATATTAAATGTTTACAATCATTCTAAGTTTGCGGGTTGGAATGTGTCCATGCTGTGTCACGACTTTGTTTTGATCACATGTGTAGGCCCACAAAGCTACGGCTTCCTGTTCCAGCTCTTCCCTCGCGTATAATTAATCAAAATTGACATTTCAGTTGTTCTCCAGAAACGATGAACAACTAAAGGCTTCAGAATTGACATTTGAAATGCTCAAACTCAAAGCCGGTGGAACAGAACGGAGAGTACCATCACTTGCAGTGTTCAATTTGCGAATCGCTGTCGTTCGATTCGGTTTGAGGCGAGACTAACGAAATACACTGTGACATCAAAATTGCGTCACAGTGTCACCAAACCGAAATCTTTTTGTCGGTTAATTCAATTCAATTATCGAAATGCAAGAGCTTATATCTCACAAACTGTAAAAAATATCGAAAAACAAATGACGAATTCGTGATCAGCAGGTTCAACTCCTTTAGATTGGCCAATAAAATGCTAGTGCAAAATTTGGCTGGAGAGGCCCTTTAATGACATAATTTTATCTGCAGAAACTGGAAACGACAGTAATCAAGATTTTCGATGTAGCCGGCTTTAAATTACACAAATGACATTCGAAAATACCAGAACTGGAAAGTAATAATACAGAGAATTCAAAGCAGAGTTTTGCAAAACAATAGTTACGGTTGAAGACAGACGAAAACAAAGCTTCTAGGTCTATCTTGGAACAAGGTAGATGATACAATTGGATTGACCTTTCCGGAAGAACAGATCACAGTTATATCTAAGAAGAGACTGCTAAAAAGTCTTGCCTCAATATACGATCCTCTGGGAATAATCTCGCAAGTAATTCCAGGGGATAAGATCATATAAGGAGATGTTTGTGAAGCAAAGCTGCCATGGCATGAGGAGCTACCAAGAGAATTATCGGAAAATTTGAACAAAAGGACAAGAATGCTACCAGAGAAAGTAGAGATCCTCAGAAGTATATCAAAATATGAAGAAAAAATGGAAACATCGATCTACATGCTTTTGGTGACTCAAGTGGAATTGGCACAGCAGGTTTCAGGTTAAGGTTTACAATCAACCCAAGCAGGGATGTTACCGAAAGACCGCACTGAAGGATCAAGACCGTTCAAAATCGTTGGGGTGGATTTTGCAGGCC